TAATACCTACCTTCCTATAAGGAAAGAGTCACAGTAAATATTAGTCATAGAGTAAGAGTTTAGAGTAAGCTGTGTGCAACCCCCAAAGTTAGAGAATTTACTTTGAACAGTGTCAAGAGGCCTTAGTTCATAGGTGGATGGAGAAATAACTTTGATATCACTTTGTAAAGCCTTTTCATTTTAACATTTATTAGATGTGGGCTAAATTAGGTGGGCATGGTGGTACTATTCTTACAAAACAAACATGGAAAGAATGAGAGGCTTGCTAATTGCTTCCATCTGTTTTCTGACATCTAACAGGTGATGTTAAGTTGGTATAGAGCAAAGCGCAGGAAGGTGTAAATCAGGTTGGTAACTGAAAGCACCTTGTTTCACATGCTTGCCTGTGAGAATCACCTGGGGCTCTTGTTAAACATACAGATTCTCAGGCCTTACCCCAGACCTTTTGAGTCGAGTTCCAGGTGATTCTTCTGATCAGGCAGGTGTATAAAAACACTGAATGAGCATATTGCTTTACATACTTTGAAGACTTCTGAGTAGGGAGATGATGGTCAAGTTTTCTCCACCCAAGCAAAGGACAGATCCTTGTAATTTCTATGATTGTGATTGGGGCCAGGCCTGTCTAAATTGGTGTGAATGTATTTGTTAGGATTTTGCCAAGGGTACCTAGATTTTAGATTCCTCTGGGATTTCTGTGGATGTTTAAGGAAGGTGCTAAAATTTTAAGTAGCAACCTTTGCTATTTAAACTTTATGCATTTCTTATAAGATTGAGGGAATGCAGAGCACGTTGTGGAATCTCAGTACATTTGTAATGCTGGGGCTTTAAAGCACTGTTGACAGGGAAGGGCTTCAAATTGCTTGAATGGTGGTAAATTGGAGTTTTTCTTGTGGTTTATTTGTATTTTCTCTGTGTAATTCAGATATGAATTATTTGGTAAGCTTTGGGATGTTCGTGCTTTTATTCATTCATTTCATAATTAATAATATTGAGTATTTCTTATGACCAAATCGCTGTGCTATGGGCAAATGCAAGTATTTCAGCGTGTGTCTTACTCTCCAAAAATGAGAGACAGAAATAATTTAAAAAATAATTATAGCACATGAGCTGATCCTACAATTCATGTGGAAAGGCAAGGGACCCAGAATAGCCAAAATAATCTTGTAAAAGAACAAAGCTGGAAGACTCACACTTCCCAGTTTCAACTTACTAGAAAGCTATAGTAATCAAGACAGTGTAGTACAGTTATAAGGATAAATAGATAGATCAATGGAATAGAATTGAGAATCCAGAAATGAACCCTTACATTTATGGTCATTTGATGACGGTTCCAAGGGGAGTGGGGAAGAATAGTCTTTCCAACAAAAGGTTGGGACAACTGGATTTTCACATGCAAAAGAATGAATATGGGTCTTTATATTACACCATATACAAAAATAAACTCAAAATGGATGATAGATTATAAGAGCTAAAACTATAAAACTAGAAGAAAACATAATAAATTTTCATGACCTTGAGTTAGACAATGATTTCTTATGTATGATAAGTGCAACCAAAAGACCAAGCAACCAAAGAAAAAATAAATAGAACTTCATAAAAATAAAGTTTTGTGCATCAGGATACCATCAAGAAAGCAAAAAGAAAACCTATAGAATGGGAGAAAATATTTGCAAATCATATATCTTATAAGGAATTTGTGTCCAAAATATATAAAGAACTCAACAATAAAAAAAACAATTTAAAATTTGACAAAGAATTTGAATAGACATTTCTCCAAAGAAGATACACAAATGGTCAAGAAGCACTTGGGAAAATGCTCGAAATTATTAGTCATTAGAGAAATGCAAATCAAACCCACAGTGAGATACCACTTCACACTCACTAGGATGGCTGTAATAGAAAAGAAATAAGTGTTGACAAGAAGATGGACAAATTGGAAACCTCATACCTTGCTGGCAGGAATGGTGCAGTCACTTTGGAAAACAGTCTGGCAGTTTCTCAATATGTTAAATGTATAGTTACCATGTAACTCATGATAATTCTACTCTATGGAAAAAAAAGTCCATCAGCTGATGATGGATAAACAAAATGTGGTATATCCATACAACGGAATATTATTTGGCAATAAAAATAAATGCAGTCCAGATACATGCTACAGTATGGATAAAAACATTATGCTAAGTGAAAGAAGCCAGTCTTGTATGACTCAATTTATAAGAAATATTCAAAAGAAGCAAATCAATAGGAATAGAAAGAAGAATAGTGGTTGCCAAGGTCTTGGGAAAGTGGAGAATGGGGACTAATTGCTTTTGATCTTTACATTTATTTTTGAGGTAATGAAAATGTTTTGAAATTAGATATTGGTGATGGTTACACAACTCCATGAATACTGAAAGCCACTGAGTTTATGCTTTAAAAAGATGAATTCAATGGGACACGAATATATCTCAATAAACCTGTTATTTTTAAAATAACTATTATACAAAAGTATTTTGATGATAAATGCCAAAAAGAAGAATTTCAGATGATGGAGACATTATTTTTAAGGTAGGTGGTATTTGAAGATTTATGAAAGAGGTATGTTTGAGTTGAGTGGCTTTTAAGGAAGATGAATATTTGGATATGTGGCTATTTCCAAAAGTAAGAGTTCTGAGTCCCAGAATTCAGCCTAAGACAAGGTTAGGAATGCAAGAATGTCTTTGGAAGAGAAGTTGTAGTTCTTGCTTAGCAGTTATATGGGGCCCGTGAAAAGATTCAATCCAAGACATAATTGGAAGGGCATGTGGGTCCCAGATTAGTGGGGCCCTTAAATGCCAGCATAAGAAATTCTCTGCTGTATTCGGTCAGCTCTAGGAAGGTGATAATAAGTGACACTGCCTCAGAGCTGTGTATTAGAAAAATTAATCATTGGCAGAGTGTCACATTAAAGGGAAGGGAGAGACCCTACCTGTGAAGATACCCTTAGGAGTCTAGCCATCAGTTCAGAAGAAGGCTTTCCTCTTTTAAATTACCTGAAACTGGAATCACTTTGAGTTCTGGGCCTTTTAATACCAGCTTGGTGAATTTGAAAGGCCTCACACACAGATGTTATTCTACTTCATTTCCTGGGAAAATGAATCAGTTTCCTAGTAAAGAGCTATTTGAGGTGCTAAACAATGGTGTGTAGGACCCCTGCTTGGCCAGCCCATTCATTTTGGCTCCTTTTTCTTCTCCTATTGTTCACCACCTGTGTTTTTGTTTTTATTTTCTCTTTCCTTCCTCTCCTTTTTCTGTCTTCCTTTTGCTCCTAACTGGGTCTTCTGTGTTCCTTCCCTTCAGCTTTCCTTCCCCACCTCCATTTATGAGACAGTTCAGCAGAAAAAATTACCAGTATTTCTTTACACAACATAAAGAAAGCTTGATATTAGCTATATGAGAGAAAAGAGAATGAAGAAACCTTTTCATGAAGCATATATGGAGGCATTAACATAGGCCGTGTCAGTGAACATTTTAATGGAAAACACGCTACATGTGATCAAGTTTTTCTCTCGGTAAATTTTATATTAAATGAAAATTCTTTCAAGCCTGTAGCTTCCAGATCTCATGTGGATTTCAACATTCCCATTTGTGACTTGTCACTGAAGTCTTCTCTGCCAATTTGATGTCTTCTGTTTTGGTGTTCTGAATAGCAAACTTAAGACCCTGATTGGGCTTCAAGTACTGCACTATAAAATGGTCACCAAAACCTTGAGCTATAGGGAGCTAAAAGATTGTCAAATCGTCAAGGTTCCCAATGAGGTTATCTAACTTATCGCAAGTATTTAATTTATCCTCTCTACCAAACACTGTTTCAATCTTGGATTACATTGGTAAAGACATTTAAAAGATGGCTGCAAGGCATTTCTAAGAAGGTTAGATGTTCCAGTATGCACAAACAGTTAACTGTTAGCTTCCATGTGGGCTCACAGACACAGTTATCTAAGCTCAGAAGTCAAGGAAGCCTGTTTCTTTAAAGAGTTTATCAGGCTTCGTTTTTGTTTTGCTGAGAGTGTTGGTAGGGTGGCGACAGGCAACGTGAGTGTATGAGTTGGTTCTTTTGCTCTCGCACTTTGTTTTGTTGAGCCAAGTTGCTTCTCCTTGCTGAGCTGGAGTTTTATCAGCATAAATGAGGTAATTGGGAAGATCTCATAAATTAACTCATTAACTCTTGAGAACACATTAACTCGTGTTATCTGGCTTTTTATAAATGTTGAGTCCTGTGAAGACTTGAGAGAGTTTGCCACTCATCTTTTTAGTAATAATATTTTAATGATATATACAACAGTTTAAAACTCCCCTTTTTGTGTAAGTATTATTCTAAAGGTATAATGTTCTGAATAAGTTACTTAAACCGTAGTTTGTGAAACCTGATTATATTATAGCTGATACTGGGTAAATGGAAATTACTTGTAGTCCAGAAGATTATGCTCAAGGTGGCACTGTTTCCCCATAAATTTGGTGATATTTCACATATCCCTGTTTGTAGTCAAGTAAATAAGTGGATATACTCTATTTAGGACTGTGTCTGCATTCTGTAAGTCCCCTGGCCTTCTTACTTTGTGGGGCCCCACTCAACATTATGTCCTAGAAATACACACTAATCCCATACTCACTGTAACTTACATATGTACGAGAGTTGAGTCAAAATGAACTAGTCGACCTATTTTTGAAGACATTTATTAAAATGATACTTTAGATTTTATAGCTTTCTTTGTGTATTTCGGAACCAATTATATTTTTAGGTCTCAAATATGTGAAAAGCTTGTAGGCCCTGGTTCCTAATGGAATAAAAGACCTAATATAGTTCTTCCTCACACTGATTATAGTACAAAGGAAAACAGTCATGTTGAACTTCATTTTTACTAGTAATCTGTGTCAAGACCACCATATTGTTTCTTGCTTCTTGTCTGAAACCACACATGTATTTCACAGGTGTTATCATTTTGGGCTTAATGCGAATTTTTTGTTTTGTTTGTTTTTAGATCCGAGGATTTCTTTCACGGTTTGATAATGTCCTTCCTGTCAGCCTGGCATTTGACAAATGTACAGCTTGTTCTTCCAAAGTAAGTCATTCTGCATTTAAGGGACTTGTTTTTTAAATGAGCTCATTAGCCTTACGAGCCAGAGGCATTGAAACCCACTGAGGGCTTTTTGGGGGAGGGGTGGGTCTAAAAAACCAGAAAGACTTTGTTTTCATTTATCTATACTCATTCTCGCAGAGAAACCAGACTGAGAAAGTTGGGTTTATAGTGCACAGAGAGAGACTGAATTAGATATTTCAGTTCTGTATCAATACTTGTATTATGGTAATTTTGACTTGAATTTACTGGTCTTTGTTCTTCCCTCAGAGGGTTTCTCCCTCTGATGGACGATCCTAGAGTAACTTTTAAGTGTTACTCAGAGGATGGGGGATAACCAGGCAGTCCTAATGGTATGTCTTTTGGAGATCTATATAATGACAAAGAAAAGTAAATGGAGATTAGGGCCCTGGAGGGGAGCCAATAAAAGGGCCCATTCAGCTTTGATCTTTCCAGAGGCTCTAAAAATAGAGCTGGTATGCCCTTCATTGTAATGAGAACCGGCTGATATATCTCAAAACTACCATGATGGCATCTCATTTTTTAATAGGCTTTGGGATGGTCTGAGTTATTTTTACATGTATACTGTGTGTTATAGCAAATTTCCTTTTGGATGCCTCTTTAAACCTTCCAACACCTGGTGATTTAACCTGAGCTTTTAGAACTCATGATTCTTGATAAACTCATGTTCATGTTCAAGTGTTATGCACAATAATGTTGGGGGGTCATTAATCCCAAACACTGGCCTCGCAGTTATAATTTAGGACTTATTTGCTGTGTAGGCGGTGTGGAAGGGATTGAATTCTAGGGAAATTCTCTCCACTCTGAGTTATCTAACTTTATTTTTTATTTATTTATTTTTATTAGTTTCAGGTGTACAAAGCAATGTAATAATTAGACATTTACACCCCTCACAAAGTGATAACCCCCCAACCTACTACCCCTCTGACATCGTATATAGCTGTTACAATACCATTGACTATACTCCCCATGCTGTACTCCACATCCTGTGACTGTGTGTGTGTGTGTGTGTGTGTGTGTGTGTGTGTATTTAATTATAGTTAACAGTCAATATTATTCTACTTCAGCTTTGGTCAGGCATCTACAAAGTCTATGACGTGATCCCCCGATAAGTCCAGTGCCCATCTGACACCCTACGTAATCTTTACAACATTACTGATTATATTCCCTATACTGTATTTCATATCCCCATGACTAGATTGTGATTACTAATTTGCACTTTCTAATCTCTTCACCTTCTCCCCCATCCCCAGCCCCCTCCCATCTAACTTTCTTTGAAAACTTCATTGAGGTCATATCTTATGAGAAGCTCAATCCTGACCAGTTTGTCTAAAAAGTTAACTCAGGGCCGGCTGAGTGGCTCAGTTGGTTAAGAGCTCACTCAAGAGTTTGAGCTCTGAGCAACAGCGGTTCGAGTCCCAGCCCGAGCTGAGCAGCCACTGAGCTGCCAACAGGTGGTAGGATGGCTCAGCTTAAAAAAAAAAAAAAGTTAACTCAGATTTGACGAGCAATGTTGACAAATTTTGTTAATTTACGTGCTCAAAAATTTAGAGTAATTTTTTTTTCTTCAAAAGTAAACTAAGCTCCGGCTTTATCATCATGCGTCCCAAGTGTCTATGTTGAGATATAAAGTTGCCATTTGTCAGTAGTCACTGATGAGCTCATTCTTTCTGTAGTTGCTTTAAGGTACCTCCTATTTGCTCAAGTCAAGGCCTCAAGAATGTCTATCTCTACTTCTGTCTTCAATTTTTTTTTCTTTGAATGGCTGAGCTAATTGGTCTCAAAATAACTTGGCAGTAGTATTAATTTTCATATTGAAATCACTTGGCACAGGTGCCAGTTTTTCTGTGGCTTCATGTAGATCTGGCTAGTCAATGAAATAAAGATAATTGGGTTCTCTAAGTGAAATGCAAACACTCATTCTTTTTTGTTCTAGTTCTAATTAAATTAGCCTTTGAGATACTGTTTATAAAAGAACCATAAGCATATCAGCTGATTTAGGTCCCTTATATTCTTTGAAAGAGAATAGCTTTGCATTTTTCCTTCGCACTTATTGTAAGCATTAATTTAAATATAGGTATCACATTTTTGTTAGCAAAATTATTTCCTCTTGGTGGTCATTCAGAGAGTCTTGCTTTATATAAACATGCTGGAAAATTTAATACAAACTGACTTGGATTTTAACAGCTGTGCTATTCCCATAGCGATCACTTTTCATGTGGTTTGGGTATTAAGTTTCTTTTGTGCTGGAAAGGTTGCTTCATTGGTACATGTATTTCCTTACAGTAGAAACATAGCATTTACTTACTTGGCTAACTTCTTTATTCGCTTAGGAGAATGTCGTTCTCTATTATCTGCAAACCCAACATTAATCCACTGAAATGACAAATCCAATTACATTTTCATCTCTGTGCATGTGAATTTTTCTTAACTCATACTTAGCATAGTATTTTTTATACTGAGTCATATCATAGTTGTTGTTTCAAAAAGATTCTTTGAGTCTAAAAATGAGTTTTGAAAAATTCTCCTTTGACATCTATGAAGTAATTTTTTTCCTTTGGTAGGTTTTTCAGTATTTTTGCTTTTCTTTTTCTTTTTTTTTACCTAGGACCAAGGCCGTACTTGGGTCTTGATTTAACCACAAATACAGACAGAAAGATTGGGGAGGTAGAATAAACTCTGCTGAGTAATAATGCTCGTGTGTGTGTGTGTGTGTGTGTGTGTGTGTGTGTGTGTGTGTAAAATATGGACTTTTTATAAGGCCTGAGATGGGCAAGAATATGGTTCTATGCTTCTATGGCAGGGAAGGCTGAACCATCTACACATAAATCATTTCTTATCCTGTTTGATTTTAGCTTGGCATATAGCCAGGTGAATTGTTCCATCTTACAGAAAAACTATTGAAGAATCTGGAGGGAAGGGAATAACAAGGAGTTACTTTCATTCCAATTTCTGTTGATTGTCTTGCAAGACCTTCTAAAATGACTGTCTACCACTGGTATTTAAAAAAACCATATTTGAAGCTATATGAGTTGGTTTTCAGTTCTGAAAAGGAATTTAGAGCCAACTAGAGTTTTGTGGAGTTACTACCAGAGGGAAAAGTATAATTTTGAAACCAATATTCTTGAAGAATTTTTCATAATACATTGAGTTAGTTTGTTGTTATTATCCTTTCACCTAAATATTTTTTGGGAAGTTAGGGTATTTTGGGAGTATTTTCTATTTTTATATAATTTTATACTTATAGAAATGTTTCAAGAACAGTACAAGGAATTCCTGTATACCCTTTAGCCATATTCACCCCAGTTGTTTAATTTTGCCCCATTTGTGTGTGCAGGTTCCCTTCCCTCCCTGCTCCCCAACCCCTTTTCTCTTTTTCTTAAAACTTTGAGAGTAAGTTGGAGACATTGTGGTCTTTTACAACTCAATATTTCAATGTATATTTCCTAAGAACAAGGATATTCTCTTACCTAAACAAAACACACTTATCAAATTCAGGCAATTTTATGTCCACACAATACTGTTATCTAATTCACAGTCTATATTTCAAATGTTATTTGTACCAGTGATGTCCTTTATAGGTTTTTTCCTCTGAGACTAGGATCCAATTCAGGATCAAGCAATTGCATTTAGTTGCCTTTGTCTTTCTTAACTTCAGTGTTTTGATATTTTGCCAGTTATTTTGTAGAATTTGCCTTGGTTTGGATTTGCCTGACGTTTCTTCATGATTAGATTCAGGTTATGAATTTTTGGCAGGAATACCAAAGAAGTGACGACGTATCCTGATGTCAGGAGGTACATGCTGTATATTCCCTTTGGTGAATTTCCTCCTTTCCATATTTGTAACTTCTAACTTCTCCAACAGTGAGAGACTTGGCTCCCATTATCCTAGATGTATTTACTCACTTGCTCAAGCCTAGAAAACACAGAAAGTGGTTTCAAAATTGCTAGCCCATACTACTGCAGAATGTAAACCTACTAACTATAGAGTTTGATATTTGTTCATGGTTCTTTTTTCTAGTTAAAATTTATACAGTGAAATGTATGACTCTTAAGAGAATTCTATAAATTTAACAAATGTATCAACACCCAACATTTCAATCAAATCATAGAATGTTTCCATTACTCCAGAAAGTTCCCTCATACCCCTTCCCAGGCCATCTTGTGGGAGGGGACCAGTATGTAGAATATTGTGATCATTCGCTTTTCCTATAAGGAGAAAACTAGGCACCTTCTTGTATTTTATGCAACAGTAACCTTGTTTCTGAAACCCAGAAGTTGACTAAAAAGTTCTCTCAGGCCTGCCGTCAGGAGCAGGGCTGTGCACAGAGAGACTGTTTGCAGAGTATTCTCGCTCTTGTTGCACAGTTCTGTCACCCACAAACTCTGTGACATTGCAGGAACAGCCTGTAATGAAGAAGCAGGCTTCAAACTTGGTTTTCATACCATCTGGGACCTGTCTGCTGCACAGATGTAGCAAGATGTGCCCAGAAACCTGATCTTGAGATTTTAATTAGTGATTAGCAACCCTAATAATATACTCATTCTGGTGTTTACTATGCAGTGGGCTCTTCTGTTGATGGGTTATGATTAAACTTCCCACAGTGACTTATTAAGTTTTCATGTGCATCTGTGTATGTGTGTCTTGAGGACTGGTGGGGAGAGGGTGGTGTAGGAATCATATATGTGAGCTGGTATCACCATATGGTAAAGTATACTTTCTTTTTGCCTTTGTCATAGCCAGCCTATCCACTTATCTTTTGATATTAGATAATCCTACTTTCCTCCTATCACATTTCTTGATAAATTAAAAGGATTGAAATACCAGTATTAAACTAAGCTATGTAAACTTTAAGAAAAGCTTCTGGCCCAAAGCAGCCTGTTGCCTAACAGTTCTGCAAATGCACCATTTAGAGGACAGAAAGACAAATCTTAGATTTGCAAGGAAAGGTTAAAGTCTGACT